GGGGGGATGACAGGTGTGAAATCTGGGGTGGGAACAAGCTTGCAAGCTGGAGAAACAAAAAGAAAGCTGTCACCAGAGCTTAATAAATGAGGGGAAGTCGTAGTAAGAGGTTCTTAACCTGGGGACCCTGGGCGGATTTCAGTGACCACACAGCACTTGATATTGTCTGCAATAGCAGGTGTCTGGGCATATGATCTAGGCCCCTGGAGTCGTCCCTTCAGACAGACAAGAATACTCACATTTTATAGATGTGACTCAGAGAGGGCAAGTGACTTGCCTAAGACCACACAGCCTGGACTTGAGCCCAGGTCTGTCCTTCTATCCTTCCCCAAAACTCTGTAGCACAGTGAGTCAGCTGTAGGATTGAACCTGGATCCTGGCTTGTCTCCTTCTGGATTCTTCTGACTTTCTTGTTCTTGACACCAGAGGTTCTTCACCAGTGGCCCCAGGATGGATTGTGGTGGTGGGAGGAGTTTCTGCAAACTTGTGAAATTATCTGCCAAATGTTGTGTCTTGGTATATTTTGNGGGAGGAGTTTCTGCAAACTTGTGAAATTATCTGCCAAATGTTGTGTCTTGGTATATTTTGTGGGTAGAGGAGCTGTGCTTCCGTGAGTTTCCCTAGAGGGGTGTTTGACCCCTAAAAGTTAAAAACCTCAGTTCAAAAATCTTCTGGGAGGGGAGGAAGATGGAGAAGTATCTGCCTCCTGACCTCTCCTCCCCCCATGTCTCTTCCCCTTCTTTGCTGGCTTATGTGGCCATGTCATGAAACCATCTAAAAAGTCGCTATCACTAAACACATGGCCAAAATTTGTCCCCAGCATCTGTCCCTTGGCCCCTCCTCACACCTCCTCTTAGGGCATGGAGGCAGCACATGGGCAGGTGGCCTGGGTATACATCCAGTATGTCATTCTAACAAGCTGTGTGAGCTTGGTAAGTCCCAGTCTCCATCAGGAGGGACTCTCAGGGACAAAGGATAAAACATTCAACTCCAACTGGCTGAAATGACAAAAGGACAATCAGAATGTATACTTTCAAAGTTAAGGCTCAGGTCACAGACCTGGCTGGATTCAGGCTGCAAGTGATGTCACCAGGGCCACACTCTCCATCCCTCTGGTCTACCTCATGGTGGGAGGTGGCTCCCAGCAGCACTAGGCTTACATCCTTCCAAGTTGAAAAGTGAACTCAAAACTCCAAGAGCAGGTGAAAAGATGCTCAACATCATTAGTCATTAGGGAAAAGCAAATCAAAACCATCATGAGGGCCGGCCTGTGGCTCACTTGGGAGAGTGCGGTGCTGATAACACCAAGGCCACGGGT